GGGGGGGGGGGGGGGTGGGGTGTGATGCTTTTGGGATGGACTATGATCCAAAGTCCAAAGAAGTTGGAAAGACTTGCTGATGGACTTTAGGGGAACTTCCAGTGGATTGTGGTGAATTCAGGGTGTTTCTAATGGATATATTGGGGACTTCCTATGGATTTTGTAGGGGGCATCCTATGGATTTGGAAGTAGAGTCAGAAGAACATTCTACTAATTGTGGGGGTGTGAATAAGAGGGGACCTCTGAACTTCTAAAATAATCTGAGGGAATGGGGCTTGTGGGCACTTCATCTGACAGTTCTTGATAAATACTGGAGATGGATAACAGAACAGGAATGAGATGTCAGTGTGCTCTCTCGCTGCATGACGCTGACCTTTGTCCTCTCACTCCATGTTTATTTACATATGAAAGGCTGCAGATTATGAAGAGCTGAGCTGAGAATGGCGGGCTGGCAGAGGCAGCTATGAGTCTTGATCCATTTAATGGGGGAAGACAGATTGGGGGTCACACAGACAGACATCCCCTATACACAGGCTAGCACTGCCATATGTACCTCTGCATAGTGCCGGGTACGTGGGTGCCCCAATTCCTGTATGTTGTCACCGTCATGTCAGATGCAACCTGACAAGGGAAATATTGTTATTATGTGGGAATAGAGACGAGGATGTTATATCGGAAATGCTCCATGGTGAAAGTGATATGGTCACAGACCAGGAGAGAGCTCGCTGTCACATGGACAGTACTGACAGACATGGATATTTCTAGGAATAAACATTTATCTCCTGGGACATACTATGAAACAGGCAGAACAATGGTGTCTGCACACTGCCAAGTGGATAATGATTCACAGCGTGGAAAATGACAGCTGAAATTGCAGATGCATGTGAGAATTTTGCTCCTCTATACTATTACGATTATGGAAATGCAGAGAAGATTGATCTGATCACCATTAAGCTCACCATACATATTACAATCTGGTTGTGCAATCTCCTTTAGATCTACCAACAAGCATGTAGTACACATACCGCATGTCAATCAAAAGGCGCTTTGAGCGGCATTTCGGCTGTCCACCCACTGAGGACCCCGTACCTCCACGGTTTTCCTCGGCACCTCCCTCCTGGGCTGCAGGTTTCTTCTCGCCTACACGTTTCTCCCTCCTGGGCCGCCGGTTTTTCATTATATGACAATCTTGGTGTCCTGTATGTGAGGGCACTACAAGTGTCAGCAGTCCCTGTCCATAATGGACAGGGACTGCTGACACTTGTAGTGCCCTCACACACAGGACTGTCATAAAATGGACAGGGACTGCTGAGACTTTTAGTGCCCTCACACACAGTGCCCTAAAAGTGTCAGCAGTCCCTGTCCATTAAATTACAGCCCTGGTGTCCTGTGTGTGAGGGCTCTAAAAGTGTCAGCAGTCCCTCTCCATTAAATTACAGCTCTGGTGTCCTGTGTGTGAGGGCACTACAAGTGTCAGCAGTCCCTGTCCATTAAATTACAGTCCTGGTGTCCTGTGTGTGAGGGCACTACAAGTGTCAGCAGTCCCTGTCCATTAAATGACAGTCCTGGTGTCCTGTGTGTGAGGTCACTACAAGTGTCAGCAGTCCCTGTCCATTAAATGACAGTCCTGGTGTCCTGTGTGTGAGGGCACTACAAGTGTCAGCAGTCCCTGTCCATTTACAGGGACTGACACCAGGACTGTCATATAATGATTAGCGGGCCCGAACTTTGTACCACAGCAAGCAGGGTTTGTTTTTTCTTCTTCTTTATGTCCGGCCCCTGATTTTATTCACAACCCTCGGCATGGCCCTTAGTGAGTTTGGATTTGACACCCCTGATGTAGTATAGGAGCCTGCCTGAATGGATATGAATTGATCAGGTCAGGTCCTCATATTATATAGTTTTGGTAGATCTAAAGTTGATTGTACAGAGATTGTAACATGTATGGTGAGTCTTCACTGACTTAAATGGTCAGATTGATTTTTGCGACACTCTTACGTTACTCATCAGTCGGAAATGTGCAGAATGAATGTGATTTCCTCTGGCAGTGCTGTCCATAGCCGTTGACCATTATTAGGCATTCTACCTCCATAAGCGACTCTGTATGGTTCTGGTAACGTTTCTGCCGTCAGGTCAATTCATCATAATTGATATGGAAGATATTACGTTATTTATGGGCTACTAAAACCTGGTTTATAGAACAGCAACTCAGTGATAACATTTATGGCTATACTACAGAATTCTTATTCAGCACGGTAACCCACTGCAGCCAATCAGAATTCATCTGTTATTGCTCTGACTTCAGAGGAGGGATACAAATTGGTTGCTATGGGTTATCACCAATTATCATTCTTTATTGAAAAAGCCAACTGTTACAGAGGTTCATGAGATAAGAATACAAATGGGATTCAAGTCCTGAGGGTGGGATATTTTCCGATATACAGCTAACTTCCTGTACATTGCTGGAATTCTCTTCTGAGCCTTTTTTTGGCTTAAAAGAGTTAAAAGTGGGAACAACAGGTTACACTTAGCAGCAAGTATTCAGACAATGCCATATGATGTATCTGAGGGCTCATTCAGGGCTATATGTGTGGATTCAGCAATTGAACATAGTCAGTCACCATTAGGATAAATAGAAAACAAGTGTTCTCTATGTGCCCCGCTCACACCACAATGTGGGTGTGATGCGCGGTGCTGTGTGACAACATGCACACATGCCGTGGCACACCACAGTGCAGTACACCACGCTTGCTGTGTGCGGACCTAAATGAAGTGTACAGTTTGTACACTCCAAATAAAGTTGGAACTGATGGCGCATCACATCACTTCCGCCAGACCTGTCACAACACACTAGCATCTTAGGGGGCAGGCTAGTGTGAACGAACCATAAACTGGTGTTCTGTGTGCAATATGTACATGATTGAAAGTGTGTATCAAGCCAAAACACTTTTTTTCTAGTTTTGGATAGAGTGGAGAAGGGTTAGCATTCCTTCCGCATTTTACTGCTATCCTGGTCACTGTTAGAAAGATTTACCCTCACTTCCTGTCTTGTTGACAATCATTTCACAACACCGGAAGTGAGGGGCACAGACAGGGGTTCTTGTGTTCCCCTCTTTTTAGTACAAAGTATACTGCCAAGTGTGGATGAGGCCTAACACCTAGCATTTGGTTCCAAAAGAGGGACAGTCCCTGCAAGAGGGATAGTTGGAAGCTATGCACATATACACTTTGCATCATGTTGTTATTCCTCACAGACACATACAGGGGTTTTTGTGTTTGTCTACTCCACTAATAAGGCATTTTTATCTCCTACTGTGCTGCTGTTGCATAGTACCCCTCACCTTCTGTCTGGTAAAACGTCAGCAGAACAGGAAGTGAGGGTAAATCTCTATAACAGAGGCCTGGATAGCAGTAAAATCCCGACAGGGGTTTTATTTCTTCCTCACTCTACCGAAACAAAGAAAAAATAATTTGGCTGGATGTACATGTTAAAGGTAACATGCAGATAGGTATGGTGAGCAGAAAGAGGACAAGAGGTGATTTTATTAGGTATGGCACTCTGTACAGGTTGGTATGTCCATATGCAGCCATACAATAAAGCAGCAACAACACCACTAC